GGCGCGATGCAGGCATTTCCAAGGTTGGATGCGGGATTCGAGTTGTCACTTTTCTGTTTTCTTATCTTATGTATGCTTGAACTCTGTTACCTTCCTTCGTTGCGTAATCATTTGCGTTAATTCCATAACAGATATGCGTACTGATCTGAAGCCATCCCAACATCTCGTTTCCGAAGACCTCTCAGCTGGTAAGATGAAAGTCTCAGTCGAAGGTGATGCCGCGAAGGATGTTGACCTGCTTACGCTCGAAGACATCCGCGACCAAATTCGTTACATTGAAAAGGCAGTTGCAACTAAAGAGCTGCATTTCATGACTCGAGTCCTTCGTGGCATTGTCCCAATTCGTCGAAAACTTAATAGCAACGTTTTGCGTGGTCTGGTTTATACCTACTTTGCACCCCAATCCCAGCAATGGAACTACTTTATGGAGTTTCTTCCAGAGGTAAAATTGGTTCTTGTCACATTTATCCAACTCTTATTCAAAGGCAATGGACGCTCCCCCCAAGTTGAATGTCAAGCCAAAATCACAAAAATCTGGTACCCTATTTCCAGAGGTTGAAGTTTACCTTCACCTATTGCTGCTGATTCACCTTTTGGACAGTGGAAGCACTAAAGAAGTATGTCGAAAGCGTGCTGTTCCGAATTTTTGTCAATGCTTGTTAAAAGCTGAGGAATTTATGTCTAGGCGACGAGATGTTCTACCCTTTTGATGGAAAGAACTCAGGAGACGGGTCGCCGAACTATGGGAGTTCTTGCTAGTCGTTGCTTCTATTACCATAGCAGAGCCTTCGAGTTAGATGACAGACTCGAGGAGATTCGTCCTTTCTTGCACTCACGCCTTCGCTCTGCAACGTTGAAAAATGTTAGTGTACTTGATCGGTTGGATTTCCGAGCGTATCAAACTTTTGAGAATCTTTTTTTCCATTTAGAATCACGATTGTCAAGCGGTTCTCATTAACCTCTTATTGAGGAACTACCTTCACTACAATCTTCATGACCAGGCCTCAAAGCTCGTTAACCGCGTGGACTTCCCCGAATCGGCTCCTAATAACGAATGGGCCCGCTTCCTGTACTACCTAGGTATTTGAATATCCTGAATCTGCATTTTTAGTCATAACGTTAGGAATTTAATGACTATGTGGTTTGTCGAGTCGACAACATTTTAGTTTGGTTAATGTAATGTGTTTTGATAGATCATGGCTTAATCTTGCATTTTAGGCTTCATAAAAGCCATCCAACTGGATTACAACGCAGCTCACGACCACTTGGTCTCAGCTCATCGCAAGGCACCACAGCAAACAGCAATAGGATTCAAACAGGCTCTTCACAAGTTGAATACGGTGGTGGAGTTACTCCTGGGCGAGCTACCAGATCGCAGCATATTTCGACAGGAGGATCTCAAGGATGCACTCCATCCTTACTTTCAACTAACCCAGGCCATCCACGCAGGTGATTTGGGACGCTTTAACCACGTTCTTAAGACCTATGTGCAGCAGTTTAACCGCGACAAGACCTACACTCTCATTCTGCGTCTACGTCACAATGTTATCAAAACGGGAGTTCGTAGAATCTCACTGAGCTACTCAAAGATCTACCTTACAGATGTGGCTGCAAAGTTGCAGTTGGACAGTTCTGAAGACGCCGAGTACATTGTTGCAAAGGTTCGTGTGATTACCTCTTGGGATGTCGTCTTTGTTTCGATGGATGTGGCCTTAGTTATTTTTTGAGTTTCACTATCTAGGCTATTCGCGATGGTGTTATAGAAGCGGTGATAAATAGAGAACGTGGTTATATGATAACAACGGAGGCGAGTGATCTCTACTCCACCCGTGAGCCGATGGATCAGTTCAATCAACGAATTCGCTTCTGTCTAGGGATAAGAAATCAAGCAATCAAAGCTATGCGTTATCCACCCAAGCAATACAGCAAAGATTTGGAATCGGCAGAGGTGAGACTTTGTAGACTGTTTTGAAAATTGCAGCCTCCCAGTGACCTATTTTCTCTAGTTTATCAATATTTGATGGTAGCGGTTGGAATATAATGTCCTTTTCAGTTTCGTCCGCAAAGACGACGCAGGAGAAGACGATATTATTGCAGATGAAGAGTTATCCTCTGTTTATCGCTATTTCATGATTTTCCTGTTATTTGCTGCGCTTGTCAAAAATAAAGCGTTAGTATCGTTGTGTGCAAGAAATTGGCTCGAAAACATCGATTAGACCGCTCTAAATCAGTTTGCAGTGAAATGTTCTTTCCCACTATTTTAGGAGCGTCGTGAGCGTGAGCAACAAGAAATGGAAAGTGCAAAGGAGCTGTCTGAGGATGATTTTGATGGGTTCCCCTGAGTTTCTCATCTATTGTGTCCCTACCGTTTGCTACCAAGGGTGTTCTAGAGCGGTATCATCTTTCGTGGATGTCTTTATTAAAACGATACTTCACCTGAGCTTCTTCTTTGAACGTGCATTCATGTGGCAGCAAGGAAGGATATTACAGTGCATACGGTCTCCAATTGTTCGTGTTTAGAGTTGCTTATCGATGACAATAACTTTATTGAGGCTAGGAATTGATGTTTGTTGATTCTAGAGCATGGAACGAGCTCTTGGAAGGCTAGGTATCATCAGAG